ACCTGAATGATCACAAACAAGACCATACTAAAGCTACCAGCACAACTATGTTTATCGCAGCATTATTTACCATAGCTAAGATGTGGAACCAACTCAGATGCCCCTCAGTAGATGAATGGATCAAGAAAATGTGGTATATATACACAATGGAATTCTATGCTCCATCAGAAAGAATGACATTGCCCCATTTGTTAGGAAATGGAAAGACTTGGAGAAAATTATATTAAGTGAAGTAAGCTAGGACCAAAGAAACATAGGTCCCATGGTTTCCCTTATTTGCAATATCTAGTGTATGTCTGAATCAAGCAGAAATGGTCATATAAGTTGATGTTAGGCGAAATGAACCCCAAGATAAGGACTCAAATGGTTTTACTTTCTTGCTATTGTTTCTAACATATTTATAAGATGAGCTCTTTGTTGCTTTGTATGTCCCTCCCCCACAGTATAACCCCTGTTTTCACTGTATTTGATGTTGTTATAATTTGGGGAGGGGAAGGGAAAAAAACAAATTGTTTAAATAGGGTTTCATATGGACCCATTGCAACAATGAGATGTACAAGATGTTATGTAAAAAACCAACTTTACAACTTTGGTGGGGGAGAGAGGGAGAAGGGGTTGGGATGGCAGGGATGGTAAGGAGAAACAAAGGAAGAGGCAACAATGTTTGGTAAGAAATGTACCCATTACCTTGCTCATGTAATTGTAACCCCTCTGTACAGTATTTTCACAATTTAAAAAAAAATTATTAATAAAAAAGTAAAAAAGCATTTTGACAGAATTGTAATTAAATATTGGGAAATTTGGAAAAAAGAAAGGAAAAGAAAAGATGTCCTAAAGTGAACAACTCATTTCTTCCTCAATACAAGTTACATGCCCTTATGTAAGTCCTACACCACTGTGCCTTTACAAATTAAGAGGAAATAAAGGGTAGTCAGTATAAATGTCAAGTCCAGATTCTCTTCCATCTAGGCTTCAATAATATCTTTGTTATTTGTTAGCTGTGTGATATGGACAGGTTATCAAAACCTCTGTGAGTTTCCGTTTCTCAACTTTAAAATGTTGTTACATCAAGAAACTAATAAACTAATAGTCCAAGGATACAGACTCTGGCATCATACTACTTGTGATTTCTGGATCTCAGTTTTTCCAGTTCCTAACTTTGCCAATTCTCGGGAGTCCTGACATATCCAATGGACTGTGTAGTGCCTCATAGTTTTGAATTCTGGCTCCATGCACATAATCAGGTTAATGATACAAAGCCCCAGAACTCCTTACTTGTATATGCTTCTCCCCCTTTGTATAGTCTTATATTCAAAAGTTCATGTTGACTTTGAAAGCAGCTCATTCATCATACAAGTAAAAACTTACAGATCCCACAAAACCTGCCTCTGTGACCTATGCAGGAATTTATCTCCTCTGCCTCAGTTTCTTCATGAGATTAAAATGACAAGTTACAAGACAAAAAGTATAAAAATCAAAAACAGCACCAAAACAGGAGAAAACACAAAAAATAAAATAAAAAAACTCTTGCTTCCTTGGAGTTTATTTCAATAAACATTATTTTATACGATCATATGTACATAGCTATTGAGCCTGTGTGTGTGTGTGTGTGTGTGTGTGTGTGTGTGTGTGTGTGTGTGTGTGTGTTGATTTCTGTACTTTTTGTCTTGTATTTAAGGTTACCTATTTGGGGGAGAGTACAAGGGAGTGCAGAAATGGTGGGACAAAGGGTGAACTAATTCAGCAGTGATATTCACTAGACACTATGTTGAAAATGAACTATATAACTTGAGGGGGAAGGGGGACCAGGAGGGGAAAAAACTGAGAGAAAACTAGGGAAGAGGTAGACACTATTCAAAAGGAAATGTACTCATTACCTGACTTATGTAGCTACAACCCCTTTGTACACCACATTTACAATAAAAATAAATAAAATAAAATTTAGAAAAATGGCAAGCTACTGTCTGGGGTTGTTAGAGGGTTTAGTAAGCCAATGCAAGGATAGGTTTGGAAGAGCATAATGCACGTGCAAAGTCATCTGACTGTGCTGGCTTCCATAACCATCTTTGGAGCCAAATCCTGAGTCCTCATGATCCTGGCAAGTCTAGGATCACATTCTCTCAACAAATTCAGCCTAGACCAAGCTTCCTTCTAATCCTTAGTGCTTTCCCTTTGTCCCTACATACAGCCCTTCTGGGATCCTCCTGAGTTTTTTACACTCTGAGTTTGTCTAATTATCATGATTCCTTTGGTCTCTTTGTTCATTGCTTTAGGTTCATCTTTTGCCTCTTAGATCCTCTTAGACCCATCTGCCAGATTAGGAAAGGGGTAACCTTAATCAAGACATACTGAATTCATAAACTGCTTTATTAAATGGCAAAATGAAAGAAAAACAAAACTGGCAAGAAAGTGGCATTGTCATCAAACTTTTGCCACAAATTATATTCTAAAAATGTTACTACATGTCATGTGCAGTAGAAAGCTAAATCCCTTGCTTTGAAAAGATTCATCCTTTTAAATATGCATTAAAATGTTCCCCTGTCCCCATGAATATTGACAATCTATATCAACTGTGCAACAGAATGGACAAGGATTTTTTTTTCACATGGTGGAATTTTTTTCTTCCTAACTTTAAACCTAGAGGAAACCCTGCAGTATGGTGCAGAGTTCCACCTTCTCCATGCAGATCCGTGCAGGCCGCTGAGGAAACTGTATCTCCGTGATCTATTGTTGCATGTATTGAGATTATTGGCCCACAATTAAGATAATAGGCTATAATAAAACCTATCACCAGTAAAGCTAGAATAAGTTAACCAATGTATTACCTTTATTTTTATTTATTGTTCTTGTCAGTCGTAATGCTTGAACTCAAGGCCCGGGCTCTCTCCCTGAACTTTTTTCTTTTTACTCAGGACTAGTGCTGAACCACTTTGAGCCACAGCACACTTCTGGTTTCCTGGTAATTATTTGGAGATAAGAGTCTCATGCACTTTCCTGCCTGGGCTGGCTTTGAACCATGATCAATTGTGATCCTCAGATCTTAGCCTCTTAAGTAGCTAAGATTACAGGTGTGAGCTGCTGGTGGCCAGATAATTTTTTTTATTGTGAAAATACTGTACAGAGGGGTTACAATTACATGGAAAGATAATGAGTTCATTTTTAATCAAGCATTGTAGCCTCCTCCTTTTTTTCCCCTTCCCATCCCTTCCCATCCCCCCCCCCCCGCCTCTCCCACCCAATCCCCCCCCAACCCTACCCCACCCCCGCACCAAAGTTGTAAAGTTCGTTTTTCGACATAACGACATACGTCTCATTGTTGCAATGGGTCCACCTGTATCCCTATTTAAACGACTTGTTTTTCCCCTTCCCCTCCACAAATTATACGGACATCAAATACAGTGAAAGCAGGGGTTATACTGTGGGGGAGGGACATACAAAGCAACAAAGAAATAATCTTATAAATGTGTTAGAAACAATCACATGAAAGAAAAAAACATTTGAATACATATCTTAGGGTTCATTTCCCTAACATCACCTTATCTGACCTTTTCTGCTTGACTCAGACATATACTAGATATTGCAAATAAGGGAAACCATGGGACCTATGTTTCTTTGGGCCTGGCTTACTTCACTTAATATAATTTTTTCCAAGCCTTTCCATTTCCTAACAAATGGGGCAATGTCATTCTTTCTGATGGAGTCATAGAATTCCATTGTGTTTTAAATTTAAATCAAATCTTAAACACCCAAGGGCCCTGTAATCAAACACTAAGGTGGTCAACTCCTCCTCTGCCTTTTAGCTGTGACATTGGGTGGCACTGCTATGGAAGAACTCCTAGATGTACTCAATTGTGGTTCAATAGATTCAACCTGTAGTTGTCTTGGCAGGGGCAGATCACGTGGTTTCATGGGTTTTACACAGACTGCAGGCTGTACATCCCCACTCCTGGTCCTCTCCATGGTCTCTTAGTCTATATCATTTTCCATGATATCCCTGATCTACATGTGACCATATATCTAAAAAGTTATGGCTTGAGGATGCTTTTCTATTATAAGAATGTCTAGATGGTTCCTGTGATCCTAACTACAGAGAAGGCTGAGATCTGAGAATCGAGGTTCAAAGCCAGCCAGGGCAAGAAAGTCTACATGACTCTTATTTCCAATTAACTAACAAAAAGCCAGAAGTGGAGCTATGGCTCAAGTCATAGAGCACTTGCCTTAAGAAAAAAAGAGCTCAAGGACAGTCCCCAGGCCCTGATTTCAAGCACATACACACACACACACACACACACACACACACACACACACATATGACCTTGCACTGAAGATTAGGGATTGTGCAGCACTGGACATCTGTAGATTTACAGGTGACATTAGGAAGGAACCAACAAACAAATACTGTGTTACTTGGCACTCTAGCCACACTTCATCTTCCAGAGCAGCCCAACTCTTCCTACTTCTCCAACTGAATCACCGGTGGTAGTGGTGGTGGTGGTCTTTGAGAGCTCCTAATCATCCCAATATTCCAGAATACACTTTCACAGCATCTCCTCTTATATTTTGCTCTAACATAATCAAGTAACTGTGCTTAAATCTGAAATGTGCCAGCAAACGAGGTGCACAGCCTCCAGAGCCCAAGAGAGCAGACAGAGGCTGAAGCTAAGGCTACCCAGCAGGATAGACAGGGTTGTATTGAGGGAAAGGAAAACAGAGCCATGAGCCAAGGTAGGGCACTCTCTTTACACAGCTCTAATGCTGAGAAAATAAGGAAAGGTGATTTCTCCCAGAGGTTAGCAACCTAGCAGAACATTGAAGCTTTTCTCCATAGGGGGTAAAACAGGCCTTCAGCTTAATGAGGAAAGATCATGAGCAGGGAAAGTGATTGAATCGTTCACTTCATAAAGCAGCCTGGCAGCTCTTCCACTTCCTTGACCAGTATATAAGAAGCAAGCTAAGCCCCAGACACCCTATCCTCTAGGACTTTGCCTGTCTCTCCTGCCATGCGCTGTCTCCAGCTCCTGCTCAGGGCCGGCCCTGCCGCCCTGCTCCTCATCTTGTGCCTGCAACTGGGGATCAGTGAGGCTCAGGAAAACACGTGAGTCAAGCTCTTCTCCTCTGCTGGGAAATACTCCAAGGCAGGCACCTCTCCTCACCTGGAAACCTCTGTCTCCCTTCCTGAATATTTTTAACTTCCCAGAATCCTGCTCTCGCTTCTCAGGGGGCAAACAACAAGTCCCAACTCTCTTTTCTTAGAAAGTTCCACAAGCTCCTCTGACATGTCCTCCGGAATCTAGAAGAATGAGAATCATTGCATACAGAAGTCTGTCCATAAGTGACTCAATGCCTTAATGAGTCATAAACCTCACTAAGAGTACTACTCCCTACAAGCCTGAGGGTTCCAGCGAGAGCTCTGTGTATCTTTGGTAGGACTCACTAAGGACAAGAGGTCCTTGTGGTTGCCCCTTGGCCTGCCCCTTGCCCCTAGCCAAGCAAGCAGCTTGGATGGTCTTCCTGTCCTGAAGGTAGACTTGCGCACTAGGACCTCTTAATCACACACTGGGGCATAGGGTCGCAGTCAGAAGGCACTGTGTTGAGAATCCACGTTTGAAAGAAGCAGGAAAACTGGAGATATGAAGTAAGAAAGAGAATTAGGGGTCTGAGTAGGAGCAGGAGTACCTAGAAGGTTTAGGGGGTTCTCTGTACAGCAGCAGCTCTTGAGGACTGGTTTTCTGCCCTCCAGAAAGGAGGTACTCTATAAGGCAGGGTCCATGTTCTGTCCTAAGGGAGACTTCAGAGATCTGATGTGCTGGCGGTAACAGAGGCAAGACTACCCAGGCTCAGGTTCAGATCCAGAGGCCACTCCCTGCTACTCCTGAAGGAAGCAAGTTGTTCTAACAATCAAAGTGAGTAGCCAGCACAGCCTGTCCAGAGCTTTCTAAATTTTAGCAGTGAGTGTTGTCTTCCCAAGTCCTCAGCAGACTTGGATGGTCAGTTATTCTAGCCCCGCCCTAAACTCATTCACAAATGTAAGGGGGCAGGGTAGGGAGGAGGTGAAGACATTTAGGTCTTCATGACCTTGTCCTAGGCAGTGGGCCTTCAAGCAATCTGCATACAACATTGAATCTCCCTGAAACTTGGAGATGTTTGGCCCTAAAAAGTTGGGGCTGTGAAGCACTGTAGATGAAGAAACTGAATTCCTTTATTTTCCATCCAACACCAAAGGCCTTATCAAAGTTACTTTTAAAATGGAAAGTCACAGCCACACCCAGTAGACACTAAGTTGGAAATAAACTTTACAACCTGGGGAGGGGAGGAGTAAGGGGGAAGGGGAGGTTGGAGAAGATGAGGGAGGGGCTAACTCTGTTGGAAAAGGATGTGCTCACTACTTTACTCATGTAACTGTAACCCCTCTGTACATCACTTCTACAATTTTTTTAAATGCATTTGACTGACAATAATAAAAAGGAAAGTCATTCTCCTGGATGTGAATCTGACTTCATGACCACAGAGGAACATTCAACCATTCTTTTTACTTCTATTTCCTTTTCCCGGCCAATCATGCCATTTGTACAAATCTTCTACAGACCTAAATAGGATCGACCCAGTAAGCAAAGGAGGATGCTTTTCAAGGAAAGTACTTATAAACTCCTCCAGGGCACTGACATATGTAGTAGTTTAATGTGATTCTACAGACACGAGAAACTCACCTAAGGATAATTCTAATACCATTCACCGCAAAAGCAGCTAACACTGTAGGGTGTTCTTAGAGGAAGAGGTAAAATTATACTTATTTTCCTTCTTATTTGATTTCAAAATTGATTTCTTTTGTCAATAAAAAGGGAGGAAGAAAAGATACTCAGTTTTACACAGTATCCTAGTTGCTTTTATCCAAAGCTGAATCCAAAGCACCCAACCCAACAAAATGGCCAATAAAATGATGATGAGCAGCTGGTCCCGGTGGTGCCCTCCTCTTCCTGTGCAGTGGCTTCCTCCTGCAGCCGGTGGTGCCTGCTCTCCCCCCATGGGCTGCTCTCTGATCTCCCTTACCCTGCTTTCTCTTCACAGAACCAGTCGGAAAGCAATCATATTCAATTTGGAAAGGCCACAGTCAGCAAGAGCAGGTGAAGAGGTGACTTTGACACTTAGGCTCAAGACAGAACTGAGAGAATGCATGGTGGTAAGTGGGGATTTGCAGGGGGGCGGCCTCAGGACAAATCTGACTACTTTACTCTGTATAGTATTTAGTTCATCTTGCATGCTAATACTATACAATAAGCTTAGTTTATAAAAATCAAAGCCAGGTACCAATGGCTTATGCCACTAATCTTAGTTTCTTCAGAGGCTAGGATTGGGAGGACCACAGTACCAGGCTAGCCCAGACAGAAAACTTTGAGAAAAATCTTATCATCAAAGAGCTGGACACAGTGACACACACCTGCTATCCCAGCTACATGGAAACTCTATCATAGGCAGGGTGCACCCAGGCTCAGAGGTAAGGGTGCTTGTCTACAAAGGATGAGGACCTAAGTCCAAACTCTAGTACTGCCCAAAATATAGAGGCTTTGTTATTCAAGCCTCCTCATTGCAGCTTGGGAGTATTCTTATTTTACAGATTAAAAACAACAACAATAGCAAACCTAGTCTAGAGAGATCTAAGAGTAAAAGGAAAGAATGGGACTCCCTAAAGGAAATCCAAGAGCTGGCAGAGCACTGGAGGAGTTTCTTCAAGGTCCTGGCACAACTGAATTGGGCTGGAGTGTTAAGATAGGTTTATCAGGAGAACCACAGCAACTCCACCTGGCAGGTTGAGGCAGCGTGGTTGAAGAGGACATGCAGGGTGTAGCTGGTCTTTTCCAGTAGATGCTGAGCTGACTCTGTTTTCCTTTAGCTCTTCCCTGCTCTTTTGCTCAAAGTCTCATTGTAAGCCTCCTTGTTCCACAAGGAGCTCATGTGCTTCTTCTCTTTTTCCCTGTTCAGTTGTTCTCAGAGGGCAGTTCCATCTCAGAATACAGCAGGAGATTCTTACATGATGCTGTACCAAAACTTCACTGCAATCTTGTCAGATGGCAATTCTGACTGAGAAGTCTAGGGCAGAGACAGAGGTTCTAGATTTATGATAGCTCTCCAGGTACGTGAAAGGACATGATAAGGACCATACGTTGAGCAGCTTGGGGGCGGGACATTACCTCACGTTGTATTTCCCCCCAGCAATGCATTTCTTAACACAAGAGAGCTTCAAAGACGGTGAATGGATAGGCAATGTGAAGATGACTACTCATTAAAATGCATTCCAGAAATAGCCCCACAGCTGTAAAAGGAAGATTCCTGGACACAAAGCAAAGACCATTCCAGGTGCTTTGTCTGTTTACAGTCCAGCAATCTGAACTATGTATGCTGATTTGGGGTAGGAGAAAGGCTGATCCCTACTTCTTCAACTCTTTGTCTTCCCTGATGTACACACGATGAGAATAAAGCAAACACACACACACACATCTGTGGTGTTGGTGGGCTGTGATGGTGATAGATTCTCAGACTCAATTTCTGTCTCTAAAAAGGTAGGAGTGGGAGGGAGGCTGGTGCCCAGTTCTTCAATTCTGTGTCTTACCTCTTGCATCTATGATGAGGTGCTGATGGTTTGTGGTGGTTGTAAATACTGAAAGTCCCTTTTCATCCCTGAAAATGTGATAGGTATCGTAAAGTAGTTTAAAATCAACAAAGTCACATAGTATTGTGTCATCAGTAAACTTTTTCTCTTAAGAATTATGCGAGGACAATAGAGTGATCTGCTTGAAACCTAGGCATGTGTGAGTGAAAGAACCAGGAAATTTTTCAACTAAATAAACTCATTTAAAAGGAAATTTTGTTGATTTTAGCTAAGATCCGTTTATACTTTTCAATTATAATGAATATCTATGAAAACACCTCTGTGTTTTTGTTTTTTGAGTGTGTCAGTCCTGGGAGAAAACATTGTACCTCCACATGGCAGGTTGAATCAGGTCCTGCAGGCTATCCCTGAACTCTTTTTTGCTCTTTTAGTGCTTGCTCTTCCACCTGAGCCATAGCTCCACTTCTAGCTTTTTAGTGGTTAAGTGGAAATAAGAGTCTCATGAACTTTCTTGCCCAAGTAGCTTATAACAGCAATCCCCAGATCTCAGCTTCCTGAACAGCTAGGATTACAGCTGTGAATCACCAGTACCTAGCTCATTTTTAAATTTTTAAGGAATATTATTTGTTCATATAAGTTTAATGTTTGTTACTCCTTACTTGACATTAATTAGAATGTTTTTACAAATGAATTTTGGTATTTATTTGACATTTATTTACTTCAGAATCAAAATGCACTAAGATTATACCAACAATTATGTGTTTGGGAATAAAGATTACATAACTCTTTAAGCTATAGAAAACTTTAGCTAAACCACAGGGTTTAACGTTTTTGTCTTAGACAATTTTAGAGGTCTCATAAAGTCTATGAAACAATGTTCTGAAATTGTTTGAAGTGCACATTATTAAATAAAAAACTATTCTGTTGATTAAAAATTCTGGTTCATCTAATCTGCTAGTTACAAATATAATTTTTAAAGTAAACAACACTAGGTTAGTCTTCTCCCAACAAGATACACTCCAAAGTGTTCTAAGCAGCACTCCCATGGTGGATAACCTGGCTTTGATGCTTCAGGATGAGGGTTACCTGTGCAGTTACCAGGTAAGCTTCCAGGACAGGTGGGAAGCAGGCAGCCTTAACCATGCCCAAGCAATCACCCTGACAATGGCTATATGTTCAATGCTGTGTTAAGTACAGGTAGTATTTCAAAATACTTGAATTCATAAAGTGATAAAACCGGTTTGTTTCTACTTGTGATTTAAAAAATCATATATATTCCTGATGCTACTGTGTTGCTTAATGAATTCCAGGACTAGAAAAATGTTGAATTGTAAATAAATCTTGGTAAAATTAAGATACAATTTATTATTTCCATCTGAGTTCAAACTCTATCCACAGGACCCTTGGGGCTCACACTGAAATTGATATACTTTGGGTGGTATACCAATATATTTTAACTGAAATAAGATACATTCAAGGGAGAACTCAAATTTAACTGAACTAAGACAGATTCAAGGAGAACTCAAATAGTGTAATTCCTTAGAAAGGTGAAGTCAACGTTCAACAAAATAAACACAGGTACTTGAAAGGGTGGAGGTGGGACCAAGGGAAGAGGAATAAATGAATGAAGAAGAAAAGGGAGAGAATGCAGTCAAAAATTCAATGTATGTCCTACAAAACCAAGAAACAGGGAGAGAAGGGATGGGTTGGGAGGGATGGGTATGGATGTTGAAAGGGATTATATTGCTCAAAGTGCATTGCATGCATAAACTGCCTTGTTAAATGGCAACAACTTTGTACAACCACTCAAAGATAATTTTTTTTAACTTGAAAAAAGAAAAACCTTGAGCTCTTCAGTTGCAAAGCCCTCTGAGGTTAAAAATGAAAATAGGAACAACAAAAATTGGCCCTTGATTTTTTTTTTTTGCTGACTTATTTCCCAGGCTTGGTGGGGGTTAATGGTTTCATCTCATAATGGAGGTGAGAAGGAGTGAGATTTAATAGTGTAAGATCATACATCTACCTAGGTGCTGTCTCTGAGCTTTTGTGCTTAAGGCTAGCACTCTACCATTTGAGCCACGGCTCCACTTCCAGCTTTCTGGGTGGCTGATTGGAGGTAAGAGTCTCACAGACTTCTCCTGCCAGGTTGGGTGTGAACCAAGATCTTCAGCTCTCAGCCTCCTGAGTAGCTAGGATTACAGGCTTGAGCCACTGGTGTGGAAAGTGAAGCATTTTAAACAAAGGAAATCCCTGCTCCTCCTGTGTTGACATCTAAGGCAGAAGTGAGAGTGTATGAAGATTTCAGTGGCATGGGGGGAGGGGGAGTAAAGTCAACCCCAAATCTGGGTCACCGCGGTTTAACACTCAAATTAAGTTTAGCCTCATGTTCCTGGATTTCCCTCTCTTTAAAAACAAACTCTTGCTGGGCACTGGTGGTTCACACCTATCATCCTAGCTACTCAGGAGGCTGAGATCTGAGGATCATACTTCCGAGGCAGTCCGGGCAGGAAAATCTGTGAGACTCTTATCTCCAATGAACCACCAGAAAACTGGAAGTAGAGCTGTAGCTCAAAGTGGTAGAGCACTAGCCTTGAGTTAAAAGTTCAAGCCCCACAACCAATAAAAAATAAAATAAAATAAATGAAAAAATAAACTCGAGTATTTTTTTCTCAGAAATACTGGTTTCGGCATTATTCATTTATAAGCCTACTTTAAGAAGCCTGATCTTAAAAAAGCTGTTTCAAATTCCTAAAGCCTCTTATCTCTGGTTTTATCTGCAAATTTTACTTCTGGAAAATTATTTGCTTAGTCTACAGATATGAACACTGTGAGATTCAGAATTAACTAAAATAAATTAAGAACTTTTGAAGTGTCTTTAAACATTTCCCAAATCATGGAAATGATGTCATCTTTGAATGTTTTAAGTTTTCACAATCTATCCATTTCTCTTTTTAACAAACTCCCTGCTAGTAATCTGGTAGTAGTAATTACTATTGCTAAATTAATTGGCCATTTTAGTAAGCTGATTGGTTTCTTATTCAGGAAGGTCTATTTGAGAGTGTGCTTGATTACACATGACCATCTTTTATTTTCATAAAGGGAAAACAAAGACTTTCTTTGAAGGATTCTAACTAGCAGATATTTTGGACTTGCAAGCTAGAACATTGTTAATATAGTTCCAAAATCAGAAAAATAGAATCGTCTCTCATGCAGCTTAAAAATAATTCACATTCCAAAATTTTATTTCAGAATTTGTTTTCTGCCTGTACATATTTTTCTTTCTGGCTAATTTTATACCATAGTCTTTTTGTTTGGTTGGTTGGTTTTGTTTGTTTATTGAGACAGGATCTCTCCCTGTAGCCCAAGATTGGCTTTTGTATTCACAATCCTCCTGCTTCACCTTCCTGAGAGCTGAGATTACAGAGGCAGCTAGCATGCCTGGCCTAACAGTCTTTCAATACAAGCCAAAGATGGTGAATGTATGACTGAAGCATTTCATTTTAAATGTATGCAAGAGATTCAATGAGGAAAACAAGATGGCAGTGCAGTTAGCTAGTCAAATACATACATTCTGGAATGCACTGGAAGGGTTATTGTTGTGGTCATAGCATTTTCTTTGTAGAATAAAAACTGTCTCTGAGTTGGGTAAGGCTTCCTAAGTCTTGATCAATATGTGGAACAGTATTTCAGGCAGCATCTCTGTAGCTGAACTGTATATCATCCATTATTCTTAAAAGCTTTGATGGACTTGCATTTCATCAAGGTCACGTAATGATTGGTTCAAAAAACAATAGTTTGCCTGGAAAGTGACCTCAGGTCAAAACAGTGTTGATCCATTTTGTTTATTTTCTTTCCCAATATCAATGTACTCTGATATGTACTGTAAGATGCCTTGTGAAATAGCTGAGCAGTAGGATTCAAGGTTTGTTTTCAGTATTTAGTGGACAAGGAGGCACAGGAAACTGAGTTTCTGGAATGCATCCTGGAAACTGAGTTTCTTAAGACAGCTTTACTAAAGGTGGAACATGTCCGAAATGGACAGGTTTAAGACATATATTTGTTTTATTTTATTACCAACATCCCTTCCACCCTTACTCTGCTATTGTCTGCAGGAGTCAATTACAGTCACTCATACTGAAGCTTGAATAAAGTGAACATGAGACAAAAGCACCCAGCGTGATCCCCTCCCCTTGCTTATGACAGTCGTGTTTCCCTTGTGAAATGCACCCCCTGAGTGTGGGGAAACAGACCTCTCATTTTATGGGCCCTCCTAATTGGTACTGCAGCAAAAAGTAACTTGTTTTATAATAAAACCATGTAGAAGCGGATGCAACTAAGAAAGCCTGGCGTTGGCATGAGCTCGGAAGTGGTCGGGCGGTCACAGCCCATGGCAAGGCCAATCCATGCAGACCATTTACTCAGGTAAAGGCTCCCCTGGTTGGCTGCACTAGGAAGAGTACCATCTGACCTTTGTCCACGCTTGCATCTTCCTTTCCCCTCCTGGGTCTCATACTCACACCTCCCAGGAAGAAGTATGAGGATATGAGGCATGCAGGGGTCTGTGCAATGACACTACAGGAGTGCATCTCTGTGCCTGTGGCTCACCTCCAATCTATTCCTCTCTTGTCTTTCCCTTTCCCTTTTCATTTGTCAGACTAACACTGAGTCCTGTCTTTCCACCAGATTAAAGCTTACCTCCTGAGTGATATCTCCATTGAAGGCCCGTTCAACTATAAATATACCCGGTGCCTCTGTGAAGATAGTCCAGTAACCTTTTTTTGGGACTTTCCAGTCAACAGTAAGTGCAGTCCTTGTCCAAGCAAAGGACATTACACCAGGGAGGGGAAAACAAACAGGAACACAGCAGCAGAACCTCTTGATGAGAGGTTGGGCAGACAGGAGACCCATATGGACAGTACTGGGATTTTAAATTGGGGGGGGGGACAATAATTACATGAGAAAAGCTAAGAAGTGAAAGAAATTTGTAAATGATTTAAGGAAACCAAACCCCAGTAGGCAGGCTCCTGGTTCCAGCAGAAAAGAGGAGATTCTTCAATGTCTGAGTGATAACCTCTGTCCTCAACTCTTCCAGGAACTGCAGTAATTACAGTTGTGGTTGATATTGTTAGAGAAAAAGACATCTGCACCGAAGATTTGGCAGTGGTGCCCATTTCAGCAAACCGATATTATAAAGTTTTTTCCTTGAATGTAGTAGCATAATGGAAGCCCTTTTGTGCCTCTCAAAGGCCATATGCTTTCCTCCAAGTAAGCATGGCTGATGTATCAGATGTGTACTATAAAATAAAATTCTTGCAAACTTCTCTGTGCTCTATTGTGCCTTTTCTCTGAAATCTACCCTCAAACTCTCCAGATGATCTTAAATTTCTAGAATATAAATATTTCAAAGAAGCTTGATTTTGAGGATTTTATGGGTTCTCACTGCCCACTGGTGTGGAAGGAGAAAAGAAATGGGAGAGAAGAACTATGTTTAGAAAAAATGTGTTGACTCAAAATTGTGTGTGTGTGTGTGTGTGTGTGTGTGTGTGTGTGTGTGTGTGTGCATACACATGTACCAATCCTAAGGTTTGAACTCAGAGACCAGGCACTGTCCCTGAGATTTTTAGTTTAAGGATAATGCTCTATCACTTGAGCCACAACTCTATTCTGACCCATTTCTTTGCTTTCTTTCTTTTCCTTACTTAATTTTTCCTTTCTTTCTTTCTTCCTTTCTTTAATAAAAGAAAGAAAACTTTCTAAAATAAGATTTTTATTGTAAAAATACTGTACAGAGGAGGGGCTACAGTTACATGAGCAAGGTAATGAGTACTTTTCTTATCAAGCATTGTTGTCTCCCCCTTTGTTTTTCCCCTACCATCCCTTCCCTCCCATCTCCACAACTACACTCCCTTCGACCCTCCCACCCGCCTGCCCCTGCCTAAATTGTAAAGTTTGTTTTTCGACATATCGTCTTGTACATCTCATTGTTGCAATGGGTCAACCTGTATCCCTGTTTAAACAATTTGTTTTTCCCCTCCTTCCCCAAATTATAGCAACATCAAATACAGTGAAAATAATGGGTTTTAGCGTGGGGGAGGGACATACAAAGCAACAAAAAAATCACGTGGTACCTTATAAATACACTAAAAACAATAGCAAGAAAGAAAAAACACTTGTGTCCTTATCTTGGGGTTCATTTCACTTAACATCATCTTATCTGACATTTTCTACTTGTCTCAGACATATACTAGTCATTGCAAATAAGGGAAACAAACCATGGGACCTATGTTTATTTGGGCATGGCTAACTTCACTTAATATAATTTTTTCTAAGATTTTCCATTTCCTAACAAAGGGGGCAATGTCATTCTGATGGAGGCATAGAATTCCATTGTGTATATATACCACATTTTCTGGATCCATTCATCTACTGAGGGGCATCTGGGTTGGTTCCATATCTTAGCTATGGTAAATAGTGCTGCAATAAACGTATTTGTGCTAGTAGCTTTAGTATGTTCTTGTTTGTGACCGTTCAGGTAAATGCCAAAAAGTGGGATTGCTGGGTCATAGGGGAGCTCTGTGTGGAGTCTTTTGAGGAACCTCCATACTACTTTCCAAAGTGGTTGATTGCATGAAGCTGCAGAGCTTCTGCATGGCAAAGGGCATAGCTAACAAGATCAATAGAAAGCCCACAGATTGGGAGAAGATCTTCACTAGCCATACAATGGATAAGGGTCTCATAACTAAAATATACTTGGAACTCAAAAAATTAAATCTCTCAACAAAAATCCTCAAAGAAACAACTGCCCAATAAATAAGTGGGCTAAAGTCTTAAAGAGAAACTTTTCTGAAGAGGAAATAATGACCAATAGACACATGAAGAAATGTTCAATCTCTCTAGCCATAAAAGAAATGCAAAAACAACATTGAGATACCACCTCACCCCAGTTAGAATGACTATAATCAAGAACTCTAATAACAACAGATGCTGGAGGGGATGTGGCCAGAAGACAACCCTACTGCATTGTTGGTGGGAGTAAACTTTTTCCTTTCTTTCTTTCTTTTTTTCTTTCTTTCTTTCTTTCTTTCTTTTTTCTTTCTTTCTTTCTTTCTTTTTTGGGGGGTGGGGGGTTGCTTAATTGGTGATAGGAATCTCACAGACTTTCCTACCCAGGTTGGCTTCAAATTGTGATCCTCAGATCTCAGCCCCCTGAGTAGCTAAGATTCCAAGCTACCAACACCTAGCTTTTATCCCAAATGTAAGCCAAGAAAAGTAGCACTAAGACAGGTACCAAGTCTCCCCCATTGATTGGCCTTTCTCCCTTCTATTGCCATCCTAAAATTTCAGTAAGTAGGAAAGGAGAGAGCCTAAGACAGATTTGTTGTGGACATCTTGAACCAGAATTTTTTTTGGGGGGGTGGTTGTGGGGCTTGAACTCTGAGCCTGGGTGCTATTCCTCAGCTCTTCAGCTCAAGGCTAGCGCTCTACCACTTGAGCCACAGCGCCACTTCCAGCTTTTTTTTGCTTATGTGGTGCTGAGGAATCGAACCCAGGGCCTCATGCATGCAAGACAAGCGCTCTACCACTGAGCCACCTTCCCAGCCCCTGAACCAGAATATTTTGTTCTATTCTGTTGTTTATCATCAACCAGTGATGAACAAGAGACAATGACCTCAGGGACATTAGACTCCCAAGGAGCTCATACTTTAGAGGAGGCTATAAAGGAACAAAAATTTTCCTAAGGAGCTTCATCAGAGAAAGTTCACTAGTGTTTCATGAAATATATAAAGTTGAACAACATTTTTGTAACTGGTACAATCAGAACCAAGAACCCAAAACATGAAGTGGTGGCATGTTCCAAACAGGTCAGCATTCTGGTATTGAGAAGAATTAAGTAGAAGCTGGAGAGATAGAGAAAATGATGGGAAGAGAAAGGAGTAGAATGATAAGTATATTAGGCTGTGTCTGGGCACGAAAATAGAATCATATCTTCCATGCCAGTGACCCTGAGTATCAGAATCCAAGACAGAGGCTGGGAAGATGGCCTAGTGCTAGAGTGCTTGCCTAGCATGCATGAAGCACTGGGTTTGATTCCTCAGTACCACATAAACAGGAAAAGCTGGAAGTGGTGTTGTAGCTTGACTGGTAGAGTGTTAGCCTTGAGCAAAAGAAGCTCTGGCACAGTGCCCAGGCCCTGAGTTCATGCCCTAGGACTGGCAAAAAAAATCCAGGACAGATACATGAAAGTGTCGAAAAAGATTGATAAATTACTTAGGACAATAACGTCAATAATATTCATAATGCTTACCAACATTCCACTAATTATTGTTATTTATGTGCTTGACCACATGCCCTATAAAACTATTATGTCTGTTACCTTTTTGTCACTACTAAAAAAAAAATACTGAAGAAAAAAACATCAGAAAGGAGGCAAGAGTTGTTTTGGACCATGGTTCCAGATTCTTTGATCTAAAGTTGTCTAACTCCATGGCTTTGTGCCTGAGGAGAAGCAGGTCATCATGGGAGAGGGTGGGGTGGGGGAGAGGAGGCTGCTCACATGGCAGCCAGGAAGCAAAGAGAAGGGGAGAGGAAGGAGCTGGGAACAAGTTATACCCTTCCAGAACAAATCCTCCAGTGACTTGCTTCCTCCAGTTAGGTCTTACCTCCTTCTTCCTGCCTGCCCCATCTCCACTCCCAAATTAGGAAACGATCACTAGAATGATCCACTGATGATGTCCAAGTCCTTATAAACCATTGACCTTCTGCCCACAGCCCCACCTCTGAACATTACAAACTTGGAACTAAGGTTTAGACCCGTGAGCTGCCTTTTTGGAGGATACTTTAACACATATGCATCAAATAGTCAATATGTATTTATCAAGAGTCCATGGCTTGCTACTGCCTATTCCAACACCTGGCTTTACATAATTGAGTCAGGAATTTTTTGTCCTGGTCTTACAGAGCTTACATTCTCTACATTGGAGAGAGAAAATAAACTAACAGTATCATGTTTACTTTTATTATACATAGCCAGAAAGTGTCACAGACAGTGTAAAACCATGTTGGCAGTCTGACCCAAGGATCCTGCTCCTAACTTCTACACTATGCTCTCTTTAACAGGTCCCTTGGGCTCCCTGAGTCCCCACCAGCTCAAATTCTGGAACAGGAAGCTTTAGCGAATGTCTTGCTTATGTTCCTGCACTGCCATACCTCCTGAAGCTTCTTTGTCTGCTAAAATACCTGGAATTCTTGATGGTCTAGAGTATAACCACCTAACTATATTTGAAGGTTATGTGCATAATTTTCAGTGTTCTGGGGGTGTATTTTTAATGATAAATTTAAGCTTAACATATTATGTAAAAATTACAAATTGCTATTCATAGTTTTTATTCAAATTATTAATGAGGTAAGATATAAACATGTAGTGTATGAACAGTCATGTAACACCATGAGTTTTTAAGATCTATCAAGCAAAGTTAACGAAGATGTCCTGAAAAGAGATAACTATAATTTAGTACTCAAAATTATGGGCTATGAAAAGGTTTTTCTCCCTTACAGTTAAGATAATAGAGCTAGCATTTAAAAAACCATTAGACATGTTCTTTGGAAGGACATGGATGGCAAAAGTGAAAACAGAAAGCACCATCACATGGAACAAGTCTCTCAGAAAGAACTGGGCACTGTGTCCAAATCAGGCTGACTTGATCAGAGGAGGTACTCTAATTTTCCTTTAAATAGAAAATTACATTCTGTTTACAGCTAACATTAATTTGAAAACATAGTGAGATGGTTTCAATCGGATGCTATGCTTTCCTCACAAGTTCTATGACACTTTTATTAATCTGTAATGAAATTTGCTCTTATGAATCCCCCCCCACACACACACACACAAAACTCATTTAACCAAATCCAGCCTACGGGTTATTTTGTGATGCAGGTAATTCCAGCTAGATGGGATTAAGACTCACTGGTGAGATATTTTATGTAAGTTTATTCATACTAAATCTTTGAAGTCCTTGAGTAGTTTACAGGTTAGCCTAGATCACTTCAAGGGCTCAATGGTTGCACATGGCTGATGGCTAACATATTAGAAAATGCAGATATTAAACCCTCCCATTATCTCAGAAAGTGCTAATGCCCACAGCTCTCCTTATGAAAAACACACAGATTCTACAATGACCATCACCATTATACCACTATCCAAAAACTACTGGAAAGATGAG